CCGAACCCCAGGTTGAGAAACACTGCACTAGAGCTTCTTTGCCTATTGAACAGGAGGAGGAGGACCACAACCATTTAGGTCATAATCATACATTGTTACTGGATTGAATTTTCATACAGCAGTAAATAATGTCAACACTTCAACAAAAACTTCAAACATATGTTGAAATATTAAGATTTTCAAATTTTATACCTTATTTATCCATCTTCAATTGAGAATGCCACAAATTTTACTATAATGATCATTTTGTGAAATCAGACTGCTGGCAAACGTTTTTTGTACATACCTTTAGCCACTGATCTGCCTGCTCCTTGCTCTGCACAGCAAGAACGAGAGCATCTTGCCCTTGATGTGTGATTTTTAGTTCATGCTTCTTTTTTTTACTATCTTTGGGGATATATATAATACTGCAGCCACTCAACAATAGCTCCATCTGAGGCTGCTGGTCCTTGGAACTTTTATAGCACTAAAACAAAAATAAGATTATAATGAGAAAATTTTTTCTTGCGAAACAAACAACTCAAGAAATCCTATTCACATTAGGCTTCTGTTGTTAAAAGATCACCAAAGTCATAACTGATACAACTGTTATGAAATATTATAGCTATACCCATATGGCACTATCTGGCCCCTGAGATGTTCGGGATAAGCCCTTCTACTGTTCCACCAACTTCCTAGGAGATGTGAAATTGGACCTTCTCAATGAGTCCTCCTAGGCTCTGGAAGTCAATCCTAAGGAGATCAAGAACAGGGCCCCTCTCGTTATTGTCAGCAGTCCAAGACTTTTTTAAATTGATTTCTCGTATTTTATGTATGACATCTTTGTGTGCTATTTTGTAAGCCGCCCCGAGTCCCTATGAGAGATGGTGGCGGGATATAAATAAAGTTGCTATTATTATTATTATTATTATTATTATTATTATTATTAATTCCATCAGGCTTTTGAGAATTGAAGGTTTTAGAGAAAGAACTTTTAAGAGGCTTATATATTGTTTTACATTTTCATTATTTTAATTGTGTTTTAAATTATTCCTAATCTCATTATTTTGATGTAAAATGTTTTAATTCTAATATTTAATTTAAATTGCACGGCGTCTCAAGCCCAGTTCTGAGCAAGGTATAAATAGTTGATTAACTACTACTACTTCCATTATCTTTGCTTCTAGAAAACATTTTCAGGCAAATAATGAGTGAAATAACAAGACAGTAAAGGACCTGGAAACTAAACAGTGGTTCTCAACCTGTGGATCCCCAGATGTTTTGGCCTTCAACTCCCAAAAATCCTAATAGCTGGTAAACTGGCCGGGATTTCTGGGAATTGTAGGCCAAAGCACCTGGGGACCCACAGGTTGAGAACCACTGACCTATAAGGAACAGTTGAATCAAGTATGTTAAGCCTGGGGAAAAAGAAGACTGGAAGATTATACATTATCAGTTTTCAGATATCTAAAGCATGGTCATGAGGAAGATGAAGCGACTTTTTTCCTCTTCTTACAAACATCAAGACCTGAAGTAGTGGTTTAAATTATGAATAACTAAATATGGAGAGAAATGCCATAATGGTAAGACCTTTCTTAGGAAGTTGTGGACTCTCCTTTGTTGAAACATTTTACACAGAGATGGAATGGCTATTCTCTTGGGGATGTGGGTTTCTGGACTGGGAAGGGCTTGTTGGCTGTTGTAGATGCTTCTGGCTTTACAATTCTATTATCCTATGAAACAAGAAAATAATAAATTCCCAATCAAAGTCAAGTGTTGTTGTTTATTCGTTCAGTTGCTTCTGACTCTTTGTGACTGCATGGACAAGCCCACGCCAGAGCTCCCTGTCGGCGTCGCCACCCCCAACTCCTTCAAGGTCAAGCCAGTCACTTCAAGGTTAGCATTCATCCATTTTGTCCTTGGTCAGCCCCTCCTCCTTTTTCCTTCCATTTTCCCCAGCATCATTATCTCTTCCAAGCTTTCCTGTCTTCTCATTATGTGGCCAAAGTACTTCATCTTTGCCTCTAATATCATTCCCTCCAATGAGCAGTCAGGCATTATTTCCTGGGGTATGGACTGGTTTGATCTTCTCGTGATCCAAGGCACTCTCAGAATTTTCCTCTAACACCACAGTTCAAAAGCGTCTATATTCCTTCGCTCAGCCTTCCTTATGGTCCACAAGGTTGAGTACTATGAAATAAAAGTCCCCTTGTTGTGAGGCATTTAACTGCAATATTACAACTCCACCTGACCTCTGTATGACTGCTGAGCTGGCTAAGACATTGCTCAAAATACAGAACCATGTATCCATTGATTACATGTGGCTGACTCAAGACTGTATGAACAAAGTAAAGCTCTCTATTACTTACAGACAGATACCTTATATGGAATGGTATCCTACTGAATGAAGTCATTCTCAAAGAATAATTGCAAGAGGACTAGAGCACAGGCATTTATTGCAGAAAATATTTAGCAACCAAGCTGTAATGTATGCATTGTTTTCTCACTAGCTTTACAATGTATTAGGATAGTCCAAGGTAAATTTAGCCTTCATTCACCTACCCCCACCCTTTATGTAGCACAAATCATTTGTTTAGAACTGCCAATGTCTCCTAGGCCACCAGCTTCTTCAAAATATTTAATTTCTGATCAATTTAAGTATTTTATATTCAAGAGACTTAGGGAGTGGACTTGTTTTTGTTGTTTGCAGCTGCAGTGCTTCCCTATGAAGGCTTAGCAGGCTAAGATGTAAAATCCCGAGGAATGTTGCATGGAAAATGTACTGACAAGAATTCCACAACTCTCTTCTGCTTTCTGTAGGGGAAGCTAACTATAACGCCAAAAGCATCTTCTACCTTCTATAGGAGAAGTTATCTGATGCACAATGAAAAAGAAACTGTCTCAGCCAGGAGGTATCGGGTCAGCCAAGACACTCAGGGAGAGGACTCTGAACCTTACCAGCATGTTTCTAGCATATTTAAGCCAATTGCATTATAACAGGGATTATAAAACACACATCAAAAAAACAGCAAAGCTTCATTACCAATAGTTTGTTGTCTTTGATCACACACAACAGTTTTGTCCACTGTCCAAATCGCTTCTTTCTTAAAAGGAAGGCACAGATTTTGGCATCCTTAACAAGGTCCATGGATGCTTCCTCAGAAGGCCACTGGTGTCTCGTTTTTTTCCCTTTCCCATCCTCATCCTCTTCGTCATAAGACTCATAAGAGCTGCTCATAGCATCGGAATCATAATCTTAAGACAAAAGCAGGGTTTGGATGGACAGTTCTATTAAAGTCAAATCAGTCACAGATCCTAATCTAACACAGCAAGATAATTTATTTATTTGCATATTTGTATACCACCCTTCTCAACCCTGAAGGGGACTCATGGCAGTTCACAGTGTTGGCATCAATTCAATGTCATCGATAAAATCAGTATAAAACATTAAGATTGACCCTCCCCTAATAAAACATTAAACATTATGAAACACATCACATAAAATAACATCACATATCACACAGAGACATAGCCATCTCTTCTGAGTGAGGTTATGCCTGATATTAAAAATGTTACGTGATTTCAGTATTTGAATTGTGGTATTTAATACTATTAATTTTTTTAATAGACATGCCAAATCTGTAGAGTATATATTAATAAAAAATACTATGATTTACACTATATCTTCATTAGCAAAACTGATCAATTAAAATGATTCACCACTATAGCCAAAACAACTCTGGCCTCATTCTAAAACTAGTGATTTCCTATAGGAACATGTTATTTTGTTGTATTAGTTTTCATGATATTTGTACACTGGAATTCTGGATGTCCCTTCAGAATGTTTTAATCTATTGTGAGAGTATAATATTCATTTTAAAAAGAACTATATAGTAGTTAGTTAATTTAAAAGGCATTTAATAATTGTAATAAAATGACTACACAGTTAATTAAAAATTAATCCTACACTTATTCAATGAGTTACACAAAGTTCAGTGAGACATTTTAAATTATTGTTCACAAACTTCCAGTTTGGCTCAACGGCTTTCAGTATATTGCATTATCTGCTTAAATGCCAGTATCATATGACCTCTTGAGAGGCATACAATAAAACTTGTTTCGCCAGTTCAGCCACTATACAATAGTAAAAGAATATACGAAGCTAAAAGCATATTGAACATTTGACAAATTAAAAAACAGTTTAAATGTTTTTGAACTATGTAAAACAATAATACATTTAGATCTGGATAACATCAAACAGAATCCCAGGGTACTTATTAAAAGTCATTTTTACTTGGCACTGGAATGTCAGCAGTGTTGGCATCACTTGAGACTTTAAATGGCAATCAAAGTATCAGATTTAAAAAGCAACCCTTTCCCTCCTCAGTAACATATGTACGTTGTGGGGGTAAAGCCATTGCCTTGAAGCAAAAAATAGTCCCGTCCTGTCCCTCTTAATACCAACTCTCTAGAACAGTGCTTCTCAACCTGTGGGTCTCCAAATGTTTTGACCTTCAACTCCCAGAAATCCTAACAGCTGGTAAACTGGCTGGGCTTTCTGAGAGTTGCAGACCAAAATACCAGGGGACCCACAGGTTGAGAACCACTGCTCTAGAACCTCATCAAATAAGGAGTATTAGGCTGGGATACCAACCTAACTAAAACCTGCTGACTTCACAGCCTGATGCTATTCATCTCAAGAACTAACAGTTGTAGTTCTCCATTTCATTTAGGATCTGAATTACAGATCATATGCTAGCTGCTCTGCCCCCTTGATATTTTCTATCCTCTCCCTCAAGTTTTGACCTATCATACAGTTTGCTTATGGTCCAACAATAGGAGTGGATCATTTCATTTTACCGGAGTCTTTCATTTGTCTTGGCAAAGTCACAAATACATTACAGAGTCAAGCTAGTTTACTATTTGGAAGAGCAAGATGGTTTTCAACACTTACACAGTTTACAGTAAACATAAAGTAATATTCCTGGCAATCAATAGCAAAGGAATTGCTCAACTGTAAAACAGTGGCACAGGATCAATGATAGCTGGCCAACTGGGCAAGCAGGCACAACAGAATCTAATCTAACAAAAACAGATGTTCAAATAGAGATTTAAGTTTATGGAGGCTCTGGTTTGTCCCCTTTCTGTGTTTGTTTCTTGTGATAAAACAAGAGTGAAGAATATGTTGCCTCTTCCCATCTTGTGTAACTTCCACCATCCCTCACCATTTAATATATTCAACATAGCTGATGGGCATTGAGACCCATCAACCTCTGGAGAACACATGTTATCTACTTGTGTTCTAAAAACAGTGAAATCTAATGAGAAGAAACATTCTTTGTAGAGGTTTTTATGTCTATTTTACTTACTGGATGTAATATACTCAGGAGCCTTCCCTGGACTGAGTGGTACGGCCTCTTCATAGTATCCTTCAGGAAGAGATGAGGCAGGCAGTGGGGGAGGGCCATTATCTGGTGGCTAAACAGGAGAGAAATTACTAAGGAGACTCACTAACCAAACCAAGTATCAAGAAAATATTTCACTCCAGGATTCTTTCGGAATCATAAGGAAAACATGATTTTCTTTCAGGGGTACCTGGGTGGCAATTAAAAAATCAAAATCCATCATCAAAAGGCACAAAATACATATTTGTGTGCCTCTCTGTTGGCATAAACCAGCATGGTGTAATAGTCTGAGCACTGGATTAGGACTCTGGAGACCAGGCTTGAATCCCCATCCAGTGGTGGAAACTGACTGGGTTGCCTTGGGCAAGTCACATTCCCACAGACTCAGAGAAAGGCAAACCCACTCTGAACAAGTCTTGGTAAGAAAACCCTTAAGATAAGTCAGAAATCACTTGAAAGCACACAGAAACACTAAAGCTGTAACAGCAAGATAGGTTTTTAATTTTTTAAAGGAAAAAAATCACATAAACATATGCAGCCACTAAAGACATCCCACCGAAAGCTCTTCTCCTATAATCACAACAGTATTCAAGAGGGGAAAGTATTTAAAATATTTGACTCACAGCTTAGAAGAACATTAACCTGTACCTAAAAGTCTGTCTAGAGAATTTGATAAGAAATTAAGAAATCTGCAAACATCATGGGAAGAATTCAAGGGAAACTATCTCAGGAAAAGGTTGCTAACATAAATAAAATCTGAAAGGGGAAGAGGAAACAATACAATCATTTTAAAACAAGACAGATTCAGTACAGAATATTATGGACCTCCTGATAATAAAGAAGCAGCAGGATTTCCAATGATGATCCAGAGGAAACTCTGCCAGAAAACCTTCCATACTAATACTTTATTAAAAACATTTTGCAATAAAAGGTTCATGTTTTATTAAGACTTTGTTTTACTTTTTTTACTTTGCCAAAGAACCACAAAACAAGAAAAATCAGCTTCAATTCATTTCAATAGATTTACTGGGGGTAATAAAAACACTAAGGTCAGAAAATCTGTAATGCAGCAAAAGTCATTAGATAGAGGAATGGCTATTCCAAATACTGATCATGTGGCTGCTTTAAACATTAAGTATAGCATCAAGTAAAAATTGCTTATGTTGATTTTAGGAAAATGGCAAAAGTGTTGGTGCGTGGAATACTCCTGTTGAGGTTTTCACCTCAGCAGACATTTCTCTGTCTCATGATATTCCATATTATTCTCCTACATTCTATTCCTTAACCAAAGAACTTGATCAAAATTCATTTGGGTATCTGGGAAATATGTTTCACCATTTCTTCCCTATTTGTGGATGAAGAGGTTACTCTGCAAATATTACCATTCATCTGCATCTGTTAATAATCCCCTTTGTATGCTAGGGGTCTGGTTTGGTTAAATAAAAACACCCAGTAGGTAAATGAGTTTGCCATAAGCCCATGAAAATGTGTGGACTTCCATCTTGGAGCATATAATTAATAGCTGAGGACAAATAATACATGTAAAAAACAAGATGAGGAAATGTTTCAATAAAACCATAGAACAAAATCAACACAAGATACTTACCAGTGATGTCAAACCATGACAAAAATGTAATATATAATAATGATTTAGGAAAGAATTGGTTTATACAACCCCCCTCAAATATTGTCATGAACTACCTAATGACAATGTAAGGGAAATCTTTACATTAATTATGAAGATCATTAGGTTTAGTATGTTGAGGTACGACGGTTATCCAGAAAGAAAGGTTCCAATTTTTTTAAAATACAAAGAATGAATATATTTTAATAAAACTTATATGGATTGTAACATAGGTGTTACATTATTTTTCCACATAATCACCATTTAGTTCAATACATTTTGTCATACATGGGACAAGTTTTTGATGCCTGTGTCATAGAAGTTTCCCTCTGCCTTTTTCAGCCAGTTCATCACTTTGATTTTTACCTTGTGTCATCAGAAAAGTGCTTTCCACCCAGGTGTTCCTTCAATTTAGTGAACAGATTATAGTCACTGGGTGCAAGATCAGGCCTGGGAGAGGGGTGGCTTAAAACATCCCAACCAAATGAAGTCAACAACTCTTATGTTGCATGAGTGATGTGCGGATGCGCATTGTCATGAAGAAGACAGACTCCCACTGTCAGCATTCCATGACATGTGTTTTGGATGGCTCTGCAGTTTCTTCATGGTCTCACAATATATTCCATACCCATTTTGTCACATGCTGTCTTGAAATAACGTCCCCTCCATAAACTGAAATGATGTCACAATGAATTGCAGCGGCGTTCATGCCTTTAGCATTTAGGTAGTGTATTACAGTGCGAACTTTGCACTTGGAGGGGAACGGAATGAGGACACTCATCTCTAACCTTCACCACAACACCAATCGATGAGCTACTAATGACTGGCATGACTCATTCACTTCCATTAGCTTCCCACTAGACGGCAGTGATGCCAACTTCCCGAGAAAATTCCCCACAAGAGCTATGTGCCTTGTAACCTTACTTTCCAGATAACCCTCATAGATATAAAGTTGTCAGAAACATGGAACTATGATGGGAAAGAGATGAACAAAAATACAACAAGAGATTCAGCTATAGCTCCGGTGACTTGGTTAGGAAAAAGGCTTTTTATCTTAACACTTGCCTTAATAACAAATGTTTGCATTACTAACCGTTTTTGTCATTCTTATTGAATGACTATTTAGACACTTGTAATTGCATTTAATTTTTGCATTTCTATTCCCTCTGATCTTTTTGAGCCCTAGCTATAAGAGTTGTTGTTAGTGGGACCAGAAAAATGTGGCAATATGTTCCTGCTACTGTTACTGCTACTGTTGATAATTCTTTATGTTTGTAGCGTTTGCATTTCAATTACGCTCATGTTTTGTGCTCACCCAACCATGTGTATAAGTGTTTGTCAAATGAGCCATCAGATGAAGTGGACTATGAAATCTTATGCCAAACAAAACTTTTCAATCTTTATAATGCCAATACGCTCTGTTGTTCTTTTTGCCGCAGTGGACTGCCATAACTATGCACTACCTCTATAACCAGAAACCAAATACTAGTACATGCTATCAAATGCTGTCAGTACTAAATATTATTGGTTATCTAACAAATGTTATTGAATAAAAAGACAGCACAATTTCAATTATTACGTATTATTAACATATTCTAATGTTCAATAATATTGTAATCCAACAACTAAATGCTATCTATATCTATATCTAATCTATCTATATCTAAAAGCCAAAGTTTGTATGTATGTATCAATGTATGTATGTATTTTCCAAAATGGCCCACACTTTCAGAGAGCACTGTAACTCTCTCCAACAATGGATCTGGACCAAACTTGATACACAGAACCTTCCTCCCCTCACCATGACGAGCAGAAAATACTGGAGGAGGTTGAGGATTGATCCTGGATTCTGGGGATTATAATTCACCAACATCCAGAGACCGCTCTGAGTCCAACCAACAACAGATCTGGGACAAACTTGGCACATACACCCAACATGGCCAACTTTGAATACTGGTCAGGTTTGGGAGGATCTGTAGTTCAACCACAATCAAAGAACACTGTGGACTCAAACAATGGTGAATCTGGACCAAACATGGAACACATAACCAACATGGTCATCTTTGAACACGGGTGGGGTTTGGAGGTGATTGACCTATGATTTTGGAAATTGTAGTTCACCCGCAATCAAAGCATACTGTGAACCCAACCAACAATAGATCTGGACCAAACTAGGCACACATACCCAACATGGCGAACTTGAGTACTGATGGGGTTTTTTTTTTGAAGTGGTAGTTGACCCACAAATTGGGGAACTGTAGTTCACCCACAATCAAAAAACACTGTGAACCCCAATGGTGATGGATCCAGACCAAACTTGGCACACTGACCCAACATGACCACCTTAATACAGGTGAAATTTGGAGATATATTACCCCATATAATGGGAATTATAATTCACCCACATCCACAGAACATGGTGAACCCAACCAATGATGGATCTGGACCCAACTTGGTACACAAACACAACATGGCTAATTTGAATAATGTTGTGGTTGGCACAATGACAGATGATGATGGGGATTATAATTTATCCACTTCCCTATTATTTTATAATGGGTCCACTCCTAAAATTCAAAATCCAACAATGAATACTTTTATTGTTCATAGTACTGAGTACTGAAGCTAGTAACAGCAATTTTTCACCATATTCCAGGTTTTTTGGAAACTTGTCAGGAATTTCTAAATGAAGAGATCAGCTGAGAAACAGCTTGTCCATTATCATTACCAATCACTGTCTGCAATGTTTAGCCACAGGAATGTCTGGTGTGAACTAAGCATGAAACTAAGTCCAGAATCTTCTACAACATTCAGGGAATGTATAGAAGGTAGATTTCTTACGTATGATCTCAAATTTACATCCCAAAGACAGACAGTTTTCATACCACTGTGACACATTACTGTATATCAACTTAACTGAAAAATATCAGCTATCAAATAACAAATACTGAAGTCAAATATAATTAAGATCATCACATTCAGCTATAAAATATAAGTGGAATACACAGGTGCAATCTGGACAATACTCTCTCTCACTCCAACTTACTTCACGAGCAAGTCTTAGGTCCCTCCTACACAGCTGTATAAAATCCACATTGAACTGAATTATATGGCAGGGCGGATCCAGATGTTATGAACTATCTGCCTTGATATTTTGGGTTATATGGCTGTGTGGGAGGGCCCTCAGTTAGGGTTGAATAAGACTGGAAGAAATCCCTCCAAAATTATTCTTCCAGCTGGGCTACAGTTCATCCTACAGTTCATCCTACACACAGCAGGATGGAACAGGGGAAAGGGTTAGCTCTCCATGTTAGGATGGAAGAATTTTTTTTCTGAAAGCTCTTCCTCTGGAGTATGTGAAAGGGCCAGAACCACATGCAAGGGTATCTGCATCACACTAAAAAGGAAAAAATACATTCTAACCCATATTCTGAAGAAAAAGGAACAAGACACATCTTTATTATTGATGAACCATTTGTAAACACTCACCAACCATTGTTGAGGAATCTCTGGCAGAGGCATCTGGGGAGGAGCTGGTAAACTATTGCCAACTTCTTGTTTCTGCACATTTTCTTTCAGGTCAAAATCTAATGGTGAAGAGAAAAGACTACTGAGAAACAGAAATGACTTGGTGAAAAGGACATGTTTTGTGACATCAATCCATCATTCATACATGGAAAACTAAGGGCCCTTCCACACAGCTGTATCACCCAGAATATCAAGGCTGAATAACCCAAAATAGCTGCTTTGAACTGGGTAAACTGAGTCCACACTGCCATATATCCCAGTTCAAAGCAAAGGGATTTTATTGAGCTGTGTGGATGGGGCCCCAAAGGAGAAAAAAAACCTGTAGTATTTGGAGTAGAAAGAACCAAGGGTAATGGAAAAGTTTCCTTACTGGAAGGAGTTTTTAAACTTTACTGTGAAGAAACTCACAGAAAGCTATGGAAGTAATGCTTTCATGCCAGTCAAAAGAGAACTGAATACAAAAACATCAGCCCTTCCCTTTAAGGCCTGAGGTATATTCTACAGAATTTCTTGCCTGGCAAGAACTCTAATATGTTCCAAAACTTTTCTGCTCTGTTGCAGAAGCCACAAGCATCAGTTCAGAAACATTACATACAATAAAAGAGATCTTTGTGTTTCACTTTCCTGGTACATTGTATAAATACAGATATGTTTCACTCTATAGTGTGTGAAATAAAACCAAACTTATACTGACCTTTTGATGACTGTATTCTCAGAAGAATGTTAGTTAAAACTGCTTTTTTCTCCCTGACTGTGGATGTCAAGTATTCATGGTCCAGAAGTTGAAGGAACAATTGCAGTTCAACTATTAATTCTTCCATCGCTAAAAATAAAAATAAAAAGATGCATGATTAAATTAAGGCTAATAATGAAATTTGAAACAGACAACCTAGCAGAAATAAAAACAGAAACTGTTACTCCTGCTTGTTAAAATTATAATTAAAACCTGCCCTAGCCTGTTGCCATTTGAACCATTTATTCCTTAGGCAGGAAGAATCATGTTCACACAACTGCTTATATCTATATGGCTAAGGAAAAATGGTGTGAACCCAGCAGTACCTAAAGCACTTGGGGGAACAACACTGCTTGCCCTTTCTAATGTAAATATGTCACAAAAGGGTGTAAAAAGTTTCACATTCCATATCCTTGGATTCTGTATGGCTAATGGCATGTGGTGTGCACCCATATTCCCTTATAGAATTTGATGTCATTTTGATATTTTCAAGGTCTACCTTTTGACTGCTAAACCTACTCATGGATGGATCTATTTATATGGCACAGCACAATTCCAGCTCCTAGCCTGATGTCAGGTGATTTCTTTTAAGTATTGAGAAATTTCCAATTTCTGCGTCATGGCCAATTCAAATATTAGCAATTTCCATCCATGGGAAGACTGCTACAAACATATTGTGCATAAATTTCCTCCTCCCAAAGTTTCCATAAAGAAAGATGGATTTTTTTTCTAATTAAGACCATCAAATTCAGCTATTTTGCTGAATTCAGGGATTTTGCATTTCACACAGAAATATAAAATGTTGCAACTGCCAATCAATACAGAAAAGTTATCAAAAGCAACCTGTCTTGTTTTGGTTCCTAGAGGCTGTATTCCATTTTTTTTTTGGGGGGGGGGAGCTCTTGGGAACTTGGGAACATGTGCCTGGAGTGCAATTGCTGTTGTGTTTATTTATTTGCCTTCTCTATCATTTCCTATAGGGAAGGTGTAGTGGCCTACCTATTTTCAATAGCTCAGCACTGTTTCAACATTTCAATATCTCAGGTATTAAGGTATCATAGAATTCTTCACCATCACACTATGCACTGTCACTTCCCAGATTTCAGTCAGTAACCATATGAAATGGTAGACCACAACTATGGGCAGAAAAATAAAACAAGTAATAGCTACTAGTCTATGACCAACAATGTGTATTTGTAAACTTTCATGAATAGTGTGGGAAGATTTTTGCTGTTGTTTAATATACCTTTAAGGTACTGGTGGGCAGATAGGATTAGTTTAGGAACATTTGGATGGACACATTTTGTCCATGCTTGTTAGAAGAAGAATTCACAAACAGCAAACAACCACAAATCTTTTATGCCACACACAGTGAGGTAAGATCATCATAAATAGCCACACATTTCCTCCTGCTGAACTCACCTCTCTGTTAGGTGGTCCACATTGCCAATCCTTTGCTGTATGTCAATAGGTGTTTCAGTTTTATTATTCCATTATGCATGAGAACAAATTTATTTTCTGCAAAGTGGAGGTGTGTTAATACCAATATACTGATAGGCAAGTAGCTACACATACAAACTGTCTTTAATGTTTTTAAAAATGCAACCTGGATGCTTCTGGATAGAATGCTTCTGGATAGAAATGTTCACCTTCCAACAACTTGTTCTGCCCACCACTAACTCCTCTCTTCAGTTACATAGTGAAGTAATGCCATCTAAAAGATAGCCACAGTGGCTTTAACAATTTGGGTTTTGGGTAAAACATCCGGGTAAAAAGCAAAGATTTCTTAAACGGATTAAAGAAGCACACTGCAAATTAATAGTCATGGATGCCACTACAAGGGGAGTACCTTTTTGGTCCATGTAAACACGTTTTAAGTCATAGTTTGCTAAGGTAATCCTATGGTTTGAAAGACAAAATTTATCCTGGTTATTTAGAAAATAATGTCATAATGCAAAAGTGTCATTTTATCGATGCCTTACAGCACCCCAAAGCATAAAATACAAAAACAAAAGCAGGATATTTTTCCACCTGATTTGGCATTGAAAAAAAATTCACTCAGTGGTGGGAATAAAGTGTTACCACTAATATAAGAAATACATAAAAATAAGTCTTGGACCATAGAAAATATCATTTGGGTATATTTTAGAACTCCCCCAAAACCCTAAGAATTGCAGCAGCAGATACCACAACATCTAGACACATTTGTCCCATCTGGTGGAGCTCATAATTTCTCATCCATCACAAACCTTCTGGTAAGCTTTTCCCCAAATATTAAAAAAACCAGAATACAAATCAGATTAATAATAGGTTTCTGGGACTTTCTTCTGAAAGGTAACTCACTATGTGAAAAGCTTTCTTGGAATTTCCTCTTGCCTTGGGAAATAGAAACCTAGTCATTGAAAATGTGTGGCAACAGTGAAATTTAACTCAAAGAAAAATGTAATCTGGTTCTCCCAGTGATTTATTTGCTTCAGCAAGACCGCTGGCACCAGCCACTGAATAAACAGTGCTTTGGCATCTAGATAGTTATTCAGATTTCCCTTTTGCATATTTAGGAGCAAGCCTACCATGAGATTTATGACAGATGAGAGATTACCACTTCAGATGCTGTACTTCCCTCCTATTGAGATGCACAAATATATACATATTCATACATACCCTAGAATTTCTCTCCAAACTCAAAGCGCTTACCCTGTCATACAGCCCTCAAGCATCCCATCAGAATGCACTAGATATCCACACCCTAGTTTCACTACATGGCCATTGCAGTCACCCTATCTCATACTCTAACTTAACTCCCCAAAGAGAAAAGAAGGAAGATAATTAAAAAAAAGGACTATCCAGCACGTTTGTTGAAAATGGATGGAAGGAACATGACTCAAACAATAATGCTGTGGGCAACTGGACCCCATCCCACTCTTGTAATTTTACAGGTTAAACTGCATTCCCCATCCAACAAATGATTATTTGTCCAAGTAGCATTGAAGTATTGTGCATTTTTTACACTAAGGAAAGAGAAGGGAGAAAACAGTGTGAAGGAGACCACTGAACACAGCTACCCTAATATCATGTGCAACCCGAGACATTTTGTCCCTAGAGACATAGGACATAATGATGCTTCTCATCATTCCATGTATAAAACACCAGCTGGATTGACCGCTGAATCTTTTACTTGCTAAGGGGCAGCTTTATGCACTGCCCCTCATGGAAAGAGATTATTCAGGGCAATGTGGCACATAACAATTATCCAGTATGCCACGTCCCTCAGCATTAGCTGCTTAAGGTGGCTGCTTTAGTCTGTCCATGTGTAGAACTGGTCCTGCTCATATCCTAACCATTGTTTGAAATAAAAAAGAAGTGTGAGTGATGGTAATTAATTTTTCAAAGTGTTCTAGATTTTTCCCTGATAGCAGCCTGTTTTGACTGTTGCTGTTAAACTGGCCCCTGATCTGTTACTTTAGAGCAACACAGCAAGATGATACCTAATCTTTCAGCAAGTCAGCTGTTAGATTCACCAACAGCAACTGGCAGCATAATGCCATCAGCTGCACAAGACCCAGAGGTCATAGATCAACTGTGCAATCTGTTATTACAGCACTCCATTTCTGCCAGACGTCTGTGGTGCCAATTTGCTTTCACTTGCCCATTTTTTTTCCAAGGATTCATAACTCTTTTTCAGGCAGGCAGGTGAAGATGCACAATGAATGCCTAATGGGAGCTTTCTGTCAACACAGAGATTTAAACTGTTGACACAATAGCCTGAAGTTAGAACTTTAGGAAAAAGCCTGCCATGGCAGGTCTACGTGTAATGTGTAATTCTGTCGTACAATAAACTTCTTCAAAACGAAAACCAGTTTCTCTCACAAAGGAAAGATGCTCCAGGTGTTCAGAAATTCTCTACCTTTTTATATTGCTTGTAAAACATGTAATGTCTAAGGGGAAACTGTACTGCGTACATAGTTCACAGACACTTGGATCAGTGATGAAGTTTTACAAAAATCAAATTTTGGTGAATCTTTTGCAACCACAAAGCTTTCACAGTAGTCAAACATCAAAAACAAGTATGTTTCAATGCTCAAGACATGACAAGTAGCTATTGGAAAGAATGGGACAATCTGGGAATAAATTATACAAGAAAATACCTGGGAAAGAGACTGTTCTCTTCAAATGAAAGTAAAGAATTCTGTGTCTCTTACTCAAAAAACTGCAATATATGCATTTGAAACAAAAGTATCAACTCCCTTTCTGTCGGGGGTATTTTATCAACATGAGATACAGAACAATCGTTCTCTTCTATATCTCTCCATGCTAAAACACTGTTATTGTGCTCCTTTTTAGGAAAGCCTTCCCCTTGTCACAGGCGCGATTGGTGGGGATGAGAGACAGGGCCTTCTCGGTGATTGCTCCCCAGCTATGGAACTCCCTCCTTGGTGAGATCAGGTCGTCCCCCTCCCTCCTGTCCTTTAGAAGGATGGTAAAAACTTGGCTGTGGGACCAAGCTTTCAGGACAGGGCAATAAAGCAGCAATAGGAAAGATTACCAGGCCAATTAGATTAGTCGCAGATGACTAGGACTGTTTTAAATGGTGTATTTTAATATTGAAATAAATCTTTTTAATGTTTATGTATGCGTCTATGAATTTATGTCCCGGCATTGAATGTTGCCGTATATATGCTGTGCTCCGCCCTGAGTCCCCTTCGGGGTGAGAAGGGCGGAATATAAATGTTTTAAATAAATAAATATATAAATAGACACCTTTACATTTCATCTTCACAACTATCTATTCTAAACAAAAAAAAATTGTTTATTTATTTATGATATTTATAGCCTGCCTTTCGCAGCCATACGGCGGCTCAAGGCAGATTACAGATTGGTGCAATTCGATGTCAGGCATTCATAAAAGTGCCATTAAAAACAATTAACATTACAATATAAAACATAAATAAAAACCATTAAAGCATATAATCATCGGTGTCATCTTGTTAAAAACATTATCCAGTAACATCGTCTGGCCATTCCATGTTCATCATTCATAGTTCCATAGGTCTTTACTTTTTTTTGGAAAGTCAGGAGGGAGGGGGCCGACC